AATCCTGGGAACTGTAGTTTTGTGAGACATTTAGCTTTCTCTGTCAGCAAGCTTTGGTGCCACAATAAACTACAGTTCCCAGAATTCCCCAGCACTGAGCCAGAGCAATTAAATGGGCCTCAAACTGGATTATTTTTGCAGTGTGTTTTGGACCTTTGTTAAGTAGGGCTGAATCTTCTTTCTATACAGGGCTCCCCCCCCCCCCCCCCCCCCCCCCCCCCCCCCCGCCGAGAACCAGTTGTGGTTTAAAATGAATTGATATGTTTATTCATTGATACATCTTCAGTGCAGTCTCTTATTGATTTATGTTACCTATTGTGTAATTTGGGTCTAAATTGCTTGCTATGTTCCCTGTGCTCCTTGAATCAGCCTCTTTGCCTTTCATGCTTAAGACTGCTTTATGCTTGTAGCTTTGAATACTACATACTTATGGCATACATACTTCTTTCCCTTGTCTTTTCCCTTTAATTGTCCTTTGACATCCTGGTAGGGTAATGAGTTGAAGGGAAAAGTTACATATATATTCTCCTGCTTTTCTTCTGAGGTGGAATATGGATCCCAAATGTTTTATTTACACAACAACCTTGTGTGATAGGTCAGATAGTGACAGGACTAAACTCAGTGTGCTTCGTGGCTGAATGAAGACTACAACTGGGTTTCCCAAATCTCATATTGTAACCGTTACAACATGGTAAAAGTGGTCAAGAGGAGGTTCAGGATCTTTTTACTCACAGCCTTGCTGAAAAAAACTCAGTGTATTACACCTATCCCTGTCTACTCTTCCAAAGCAAAATGTTCCCAGAATGCCTGCAGTGGGCTATGGGATTAACAGTGAAATACAGCCATGTCTGTTTAGTCACCCATTATATTCAATAGGTTTTAATCCTGGGTAGTCCCACATTTTAAAGAGCCATTAACTAAGGATGTAAAGATACATTGAGACTCCATTGAGAAAAAAACCAACTGCTTCAAGCTTTTTCATATTTCAGGACTTTTTGGCTATTTTCAAAACTTGGGTTTTTTTAGGGGGGGACAAAAAACTATGGGGTGTTAGCAGAAAGCTTACTTTGCACAAAAAGTCTATGCACAACCCAGTTCAGAATATTCTATCACAGCGTATGTCAAATAACTTTCTACATACTTAGTTATGTAGCACAAGACTAAGAACCTCTATTAGTCAGTTGCAAATGTGTGTAATGGGGAACTTACAATTACAAAAGTGTCCTGATTGGTACTCCATAGCCAGTGTCCCAATCCACAATAACACTGATGCACATTGGTTCCAATGTGCATCAGTCCCAATGTGTGTTGATCACTTCACTGGGTCTCCTATGTAAGGCTGTTAACAGCAACTCTTTACTAGATATGGGCATTGCAGAGATATTTCTGCAGAGATAAGTCCACTTATGAAGACATAAGTTCTCAGCAGGATTCTGTGCCCAAGCTTTTGCACAGAATCATATTTTTGCGCATTGTTTTCATAAAGAAGTCTCAAAATATGGAATATCATTGAAAAATACATCAAGTTACAGTCTTGCACTTCATATAAATTTCTATCCCCATAGCCAAAATGTAAGGTATAGATTTGGACTGGGGTATCCAAGTACACTAATTACATGTTCTAGGTAATATCAATTGTCCTATGAAAAGGTTTACTCTGCAGACGCTTCTGATTTTGATAAGTGTAGAAGCATGTGTGTGTGCACACATGGAGAGATTCACACAGAATACTTAATATATCACAAACAAGATGTTTAATGACCTTTTTAAATGGAGATAATTCTTCACCTCAAGACATATCCATTACAAATTGTGCAAATTATAATAAGTCTGCAACTTTGCCCTTTTAAATAATTGCCAGTAGCATTTTGTTACAAAAGATTCTCAGATTAAACTCAGTACTATTTATTTCTTATGATTAAAAATACAAACTGGCATAGAAACTGGAAGAACAACTGCAAGAAGGGCTGTGGCTAATGATGCAACTGGACTCAAGCCAAAAGGATATTCAACTGTTGACATGCTCAAAAGTAAAAGCAAAGTTAAGAGCTGCACAAAAACATACTATAGGAACATGGAATCTTGAGAAACATGAATCGGGGAAGGTAGACAGAGTAAAACAAAAAATGCAATGGATAAACATTTCAATAGGAGCTAAACTGGATACGAGTCAGATAATTACACAGTGTTTACTCAGGAAATGAAAGGATAAGAAATAAGTAGCATTAGCAGTGAGGAGAGAGGTAGCAAAAACAGTCAAAGGATATAATGAAAAGTCTGACTGAATAATATCAATAAACCTCAGATAAAGCCCATCAATATCCATGTATATGCTCCAACTACTGTCAGATCTCCACATCTGCAGTTTTGATTTTTGTGGATTTGTTTATTTGAGGATTCAATTAATATGTTCCCTTTAGGAATCTCCAAGTCCTCCAGTGTGACTACATGGCCAACTTTCACCAGATGTTGCACTGAAGGACCTAGAGATTCCTAGAGAGAACATTTCGGCATTTGTAGATCTTCAGCACAATTCTGTGGTCAATATCTTGTGGATGCTGACCATAGAGATGTGCTACAGGACCTAGAGAATCCCAGAGAAGTTCTCTCAGGCTTAAAAAGATAGTAGGGGTTTATTTGTTTGCTTTATTTCATGCTGGTCCTGTGTCCCTAACCCCAGCAAATGTGGAGGGCCCACTGTACAGAAGTAGCAGCAGAAGAAGAAATTGAAAGATTCTATGCTGGAGTCCAGGAAGAAATTGATCCCACATGAAAACAGGACTTTCATAGGCTATTAGAATGCCAAAGTTGGAAACAGAGCAGAATCAAACATTATAGGAATATTTGGCCTAGGATGAAGAAATGAAGCAGAAGAGTGACTGACTGAATTTTGCAAGGCCAAGAGTTTGTTCATTGCCATGGTGGCACAGTGGTTGAATGCCTGTACTGCAGCTACTCACTTGCAAACCATAAGGTTGCAAGTTCAGTACTAGCCAAGGGCTCAGGCTCAACTTAGGCTTACATCCTTCTGAGGTCAGTACAATGAGTACCCAGATTGTTGTGGACAGTTAGCTTACACTTTGTAAACTGCTTAGAGAGTGCTTAAATCCACTGATATGCAGTATAGAAATACACTTGATGTTGCTATCTCTATTCTTCAAGCAGCCCAACAGGCAATTGGGTACATGAACATCACCTGATGAATAATATAGAATAATTATATAATATAGAAACCAAACAGATTACATAATTGGAAAGAGAAAATGGAAAAGATCCAAAGCCAAGACCAGAAGCAAACTGTGGCACAGACCATAAACTATCAATGACAAAAATTAGAGTAAAGCTGAAAAAGAACACTGAACTGACTGCCATGCTAAAATACAATCTGAAGAACATCTCCATAGAATTTAAGGACAGTGTAAAAATAGATTTGCACTATTAAGCCTGGTTGCCTGGGAGCTGGAAGAACTCTAGACTGAAACCAGGGACATTGTCAGGAAGGAATGCAAAAAGACACTATCAACAACTAAAAAGAAAGACATGCCTCAGTGGATGACAGATGAAACTCTTCAAGCTGTTAAGAGAAGCAAAAGTAAAAGGTGACAGAAATAAGATCAGAACCCTGCATGCAACTGTTCAACAACTTGTGCATAGAAACAAGGTGGACTGCTGTTATAATCAATGCAGAGAAATAGAGGGAACAAAATCCTTTTCACAAAGATTTTCACAAAAAAATCTTGCTTACAAAAGCCAAGAAATCAAAGAGAAATTGAAATCAAAAGTGGGGGTGCCTAGGGGAACACATTAAATGACCAAGTCCAAATAAAAAGATGATTGAAACAATATACTGCAGAACTAGATAAAGAGATGAAAGGATGACAGAGTCATTCAAGGGAGAACCATTTGAAGATGAATCTACATTTTTTAAAAAGTAAAGTGGAAGGTGCACTAAGGCACTGGCTAGAAATCAAGCACCAAGAACAGATAGCATACCAATTGAGCTGTTCAGATACAGAAAATACTCTACATTTAACTAAAATCTGTCAACAAATATGAAAAACAAAACAATGGCCTTCATACTAGAAACATTCAATATACATCCCAGTCCACAAGAAAAGGGCCAATAGGGTTTGCAGTAACCACAGGACCTTTGCATTGATCTTCCATGCAAGCAAAATGATGCTGAAAAATTCTACAATGACTTTTACCATATATGAAGCAAGAAATGCCAGATGTTCAAGCTGAATTTGAGAAAGGAAGAGACACTAGTGCTCATGTTGTAAATATACATTGGGCAATGGATCATACCAAAGAATTTCAGAAGAAATTCAGGCTATGCTTTATAGATTATAGCAAAGCCTTTAGATCATGACAAATTATGACTCACTCCTAAAGAAATGAGCGTGCCACAACATTTTATTGTCCTGATGCATAATCTGTATTGAAGACAAGAGGCTACTATCAAGATCAGGGGTAGGCAACCTTTCCCCTTTAAGGGCCGAGGGACTTCAGCTCCCAGAAGCCTCAGCCATGTTGGCCAATAGTCCCATGTTGGCCAATAGCTCCTGGGATTCTGGGAGCTTAAGTCCCTCGGCCCTTAAGGGGAAAGGTTGCCTACCCCTGGTATAAAGAAATGGAATGGTTTCCAATTGGCAAGAAATGGTGGTGGACAAGACTGCATTTTATCCCCTTATGTGTTTAACTTGTATGCTGAACATATCTTACATAAAACAGGATTAAATTTTGAAGATTGGTGTGTGCAAATTGGAGAAAGGAACCTCAACAATATCAGATATGCAGATGACACCATACTATTAGGAGAAAATAGCCAAGACTTGGAATAATTACTGAAGAAAGGAAGCAAATGCAAAGGCAGGTTAACAGCTGAAACTTTGTTTCTGATTTAAGCCAAATCTATCACAGGGTTTCCTTGGCAAGTTTTTTCCATCCTCTGAAGCTGAGAGAGTGTGACTTACCCAAGGTCATCCAGTGGGTTTCCATGACCGAGCAGGGATTCAAACCCTGATCTCCAGAGTCATAGTCCAACTCTCAAACCACTACAACACACTGGCTGTACAGATGATTTATATTACTTTGAAGGAGACAATGAAGACATTGAAATAGTTCAGGATTTTCTGTATCTTGCCTCAAGTCATTAATCAGAATGAAGACTGCAATCAAATAATCAGAAGAAGACTAGGATTTGGAAGGGAAGCTATGAAGGGGCTAGACAAGTTCCTGAGGTATAAAGATATATCATTGAATGCTGAAATTAGGATGATCCATGCCATCATATTTCCAATTTCTATGTGTGGTTGTGAAAGCTGGGCAGTGAGGGAAGCTGATAGGAAGAAAATGAACTCATTTGAAATGTGGTCCTGGAGAAGAATTCTACAGATACCATGAACTGCTAAAAAAAACCAAAAACAAATAAATGGGTCCTAGGGCAAATCAAGACTAAACCCTCCCTAGATCCCAAGATGACTAAACTGAAACTGTCATACTCTGACCATATCATGAAAAGACCTGACTTCCTAGAAAAGACAATAATGCTTCATGACGTAGAAAGCAATAGGAAAAGAAGAAGACCCCATTCCAGTTGGATAGGCTCAATCAAGGAAGCCATGGCCCTGAATCTGTAAGAAATGAGCAAAATGCTAGTTTTCACATGACTCAAACATGTGCAGACACAGTGTTATGCTGTGTGATTCATTTTAAAATAGTGCAAAAGTAAAGCTGTTCTTGTTCAGTTTTATGCCATTCTTTTTGAATCTCTCTATAGTCCCTTGACATGAATGTCTAGTCAGAACCGACTGTAAGGGGTGGTGCATAGGGGCTACCAATACATAGTGGGAACATAAAATGAGGGATGGATTTTCCCTTTTCCTTCATGTTGTTTTATCACTCCATCATAATACTATTTGCCCTAATTTTTAAAAGGCTAAGATGAATGATTTTGATTTTCCATAGTGTATGTGTGTGGTCATTCACACCATGGTTCCAAATTTGTTGTTTCTTTTGTTTGTTTTATTTCCATTCAGAGACAATGGCATGTAGGAAAGAGAAATAGCTGAATTGGAACATACCCACAAATTCCATTCCATCAACAGAGGGTTGAACAGAGACACACTTTCATTGTTGTTAGCTACCCTTGAGTCGACTCCTGACTCAGGGTGACCCTGTGCCTGACATACCTACTGGACTCCCATATCTTCCACTGCTCTGCTCAGGCCCTGCAATCCCATGCCTGGGATCCCCCTGATTGAGTCCATCCATCTGGCATGCGGTCTTTCTCTTCTTCTACCCTCTATCTTTCCTAGCACTACTGTTTTTTCTAGTGATCCATGCTTTCTTATTATGTGGCCAAAATATGACACGTTAAATTTAGTCATGTTGGCTTCCTCTGACCCATTCAAATACCCATTTGTTTGTCATTTTGGCTATCCACAGTATCCTCAGCACTCTTCTTCAGCACCGCATCTCAGATGTGTTGATTTTCTTTCTATATTCTTCCTTTACTGTCCAACTCTCACATCTGTACATGGCGATGAGGAATACATATTATAACACTGGTTAACACCCCAGCATCGTAAGCGTCTTGGCCAGTTTATCACATCTGCTTTCTGGTTCCCAGCCTGCACACACCACATTCAAAAACTCTCTCCACCATTCATATGGTTCACCTACTCACCCTGGCCTGTCTTTGTCTCAGTAGCCATAGCTAAAACTGAACTTGTCACCTCATCAGCATACCCACACGTTTTGCATTTCTATATCAGTTCATACAGTCTGATCATAAAGGTCCTTTCTGGGTACTAGTTCACTCCATGCATCTGAAGAAGTAGACCTAGTTCTATGAAACCTAACAACTACTTTTGCTCAGTTAACTTCAAAAGTGCTACAAGATCCCTTTACATACTTATTTCCATTGTTTGTTTTATTGTACAGTGGGACTGCCATATTGGCAGGTGAGCTATCCACAGTGATGCACTTGTGGCTAGCCCTGCCCCATATAAGTCAGTGGACGTTACCACACTGGCGGCAGAAAGCGGCAAGAAAGTG